CTGGAACTCCCAGCCGGCACACGAGCATAAATCGCTGAGCTTATTTGGGCAAATTGTAAGGGCCGCACACGCCGCTTACTGCGGGTGAACCGGCAGCGATATTCCGCCGGGCCGGCAGCAATTAACTCATTATGTGGCCGGGATATATTATGTCTGCCCGATACTCTTGATTTATGAGCCGGCCGGCCGAACGAAATATGCAAACGCATGCGCCGTAAATTACAGCGGCCCGCAAAGTTGCGAATCCGTAATTTAGAATTATCTTGGAGTCCGCGCGGTAATTCCGCGCGGTGGAGCGCGGCGAAACGCAAATATCGGCGCGCCCTGCGACACGTCGGAACGTTTCTTTTCGCGGACGAGGACGACTCTCGAGCGAATCGAGATTTACGAGATCGCGGCACGGACGGAGAGCCGCTCGGGCCGCGAACTTATGAAAGCCTCGGCGACGGAAGCTCCGCCGAAGCGGCCGGAAATCCGACCGCTGGTCGAATTAACGCGTGGAAAAAACAATTCCGTTGGTACGACGGAGTTTTCTGTCGAACGGTTTCCTGGAGACCGGGAACTCGGTTGCAGGAACAGAAAGATCCCTGCAAGAGATTTCTATCTCAGTCAACCGCTCTCGGTTGTCTCAGTGCCGAGTTCTAATACAGCTGAATGTTCGCAGGAATATTCTCAGCCGCTTTAACGGAGATACCATTTCTTGTCGACGAGTTTTCACTTCTCGTCATCGAGTTCTCATTCCTTTCGTCACCGAGGTTTCACTTCTCGTCACCGAGCTTTCATCTGGTCAATATTCCGGAATTGAAAGTTTTTTCCGCGCCTGTTCGTTACCAGCGTTGCGCATGCGTAACGCGCCGATCCCTCGTTTCAAGTTCGTCAGAAGTTTTCCATTTCCCGAGTCGAAATGTTGACGCTACTTTGAAGCTCTTGAGACTAATTTGTATCTACTTAGATGGACTATAGTATAATAAAAATATACTTCGACAGTGCTGATACTTGTCAACTTTTTCCTAGAACCATTTTCCTTTCTTTAATCCTGCGGATTTGATTTTAATGCTATCTTCAACGATTAATTTCAACAGCTGAAATAGCTAAAACAAAAATTGACGACATCAAAGTAGGAATAAACTATTATATAGTAAATCATAGAAATTGGAATTGAAGGATTTATTTACACCTTGAGGCTGTGCCGCCTAAAAGCGTCACACAAGAAGATACGGAAGAAGAAGAGAATTACATAACAAATAGAATAAAAAAAAGGGGAGGAAAGGTATACAGAAGCAGAGGCAACAATATAAAAAAAAAAAAAGAGGCGAAATAAGAACAAGAATACGCACGGGGAAAATATTACAGTAAAAATGACCACAAAATTTCGTAATGTTGCACCATACCGGAACTATAGCTAAAATTATGATGTACACTGTAATCATTAGTGATGTACCTCATAGTACATATCACTGAAGATTACAACACGCACAACAATTTCAACCACAATTTCGACATGGTCCGACGTTACACAAAACCTTGCAATAATTTTTACTATATTCTCTCCACGCAGTGATCGCGTAATCACGTTTCGGCTACACCTTGCGCTACTCGCACGTTTCATCACCGTGTAGACATTCGCGTTAAGTCGCCGCTCGCTTAATCGCATTACCGCACAAAGAACGTCCGTTTTGTCGCAGCGAATGTTTCGGAAGATCGGTCGGCTGCGCTCTTCGCGAATTTCGCTTGTTCGCGCGACTTTTGCGGCGCTCGCGATACGGCGGTCAGAATCGCGTATGCATTTCAAAGCGCATAAATTTCCGCTGATTAGAAGGCTCTAAAACGTGGTGTAGAACCCGTACGTCGGGCAGCACGGAGAGAGAGAGAGAGAGAGAGAAGCCGGCAATTCCAAGACGGTGAGAGTTAACGGCACTTAAAGCGGCTCTACTTCGGCCGGTGGATGAGCGTGGCAATCTATGCAGGTGAAATGTGCGGGTGTAGCGTGTCCCGTATGTTTCGTGCTCGTAATTAAAGCCCGGCAGGCAACGGCAGCGTCCCACTACGGTGGTGTTCGATAGCCCGCCTATTATGAAAAATATTCGCGAAATATCCCGAAAACACGGCCGCCCTTCGATATACACAACACGGCCCGGGTTCGCGCCGGCTGCCGCGCGATCACTGTTTTTCTCCCCCGGCAGCCCGCGGCACCCCTGCCCAGGTACGCGCGCACAGGTGATATAAATATCAAACACTCGATCGAACGAGCGTCGGAGCGCACGAGATTCGCGCTGGCCGAGAAACACCGTTCGCTTTTCCACGATTCTTCATTGACGGTCGGGACGATTGCCGCGAGTTCGCGGCTGCTTATCGGCCGTTGCACCGTCAATCGCGTGCGCGCCTATTACTCCGTCCCGAATGCGGCAGGTATTTTATCAAAGACACGCGAGCTCTCTCTCTCTCTCTCTCTCTCTCTCTCTTTCACCCCCTCTCTCTGTCTCTCAGGGCAAAATTCAGAGGTCCATTGCGCGCCGGAATGCGCGCCTTACTCGCCGCGGAAAGGATCAATCTCGCGTGTTAAGCCACTTCAAGTCCCGAACCGGGCGGACACGCCAACCTACGGTCAAAGGGAAAAAATGTCCTCCGTAAGCCGCTAACGAAGGATCCAGCGGCGCGATAAGCCTCGTCGTCCGCCATTAAGAAGCTCAGCGCGCTCGGTAAGATCGATGTGATTGGTCAAACGACTGCAGGTGAGGCGTACACAGCGAACATCTCGGGGGTAGGATAGCGTCAGCTTCCCGACTGTTATCGGGACTGATTTTATTCCACTTCGATTACACCGCCCGCGCGAGAAGAATTAATACGAGAAGGCGGTTAACGCGAACGAGCGGGCGCAACACAATGGCGATTTTATTCGCGCGCGAGGGCGAAATTAGCCGGAGGAACGAGCGATGTGTACACGCGAAATTAATGATACACGACGGTAAATCCCGACGAGTGTACCACCCACGGTGTTCCCGGCGTAAAAGGCGAGCAAGCCGAAAACAATGGACGGGTGAATGGTGCGAGTTATAATGCGAGGGTTGGCCAGGGTGGTAGAACCAGACGCGTCCGACGAGTAGCGCGCGACGCTAATGTAGAACGAACAATGCCCGGCGNGGGGGGGGGGGGGGGGGGAGGAAAATTTCAGGCGCCTTGAAATAATTAGCGGCTTCGCGAGTAATCTCCTTCTCGCCGGCTTCAAATTGCGCGGCTCGCGGAAAAAGCCCGCGGAAGCGAGCGAGCGCGGCCGGCGACGACGGGGCGGAACTTCTAAATTAATCAATTCCGACTGTCGAGGAATATCGTGCGATATTAACGCACTTCTAACGAATTGATGAGAGGCTGAGAGGCGCGCGATACGATTGAGACAATGGGACAGCGCGATATCCGCGAATGCGGCTGCTGGGAAAAAGGGATTAGCATCAATTCGAGACTCGCGTGTTCTCAGGCCGCTCCAGAACGTGCATCCTTATCACGGTAGATTCCTTGGGACATTCGAGAACGATAGTTCAGGTATGGGAACGATGAGCGATTTTTAAATTACAAGCGATTAAAGTTGATTAATTCGATTGTACGGGCAGACTTAATCGTTTATAATTTAAACGTTACCGTAGCCCCGCGATTTTCGCACTCGAATATTCGTCTCCGAATGTCCTGGAAAGGAATCTGTCACGTTAAACACACACGGTGGTTCTGGGATATTCTGCATAAGCGAGAATATATAATTTTATAAAGGCAAACCTTGATACCATTTTTGTTGCTGCGCGCAAATAGCAGGAGTGCCGCTGTTATAAAATCGGAACGGTTTAATATGCACGAGAAAATCTGTTACTGTGTCGGGAATAAAAGGAGAATTTGCGAAATAGGAAGCGTGTTGATGTCTTCGTGCCACGTCACGCCGCCACCCGACGTTCGATGATTAATCGGAGAGCGACAATTAATTTCAGAACGATCTGCACAGACCGAATTTACATCGATCGACCCGTTACTGCAATTTATTACAGTCTTCGGGCGAGCAATCAAAGCCGATAATTAAACTTCTAAACTTCGCCCGATTGCGGAGAGTGCCACGCGGGCAGGATTGCTTCCTCCGGTATCAATTATGACGACAGAAACTCATTAAATCCATTAGATTCCGCGATGCACTTATCGAATGCCTACCGCGAAAATATTCCCGTTTCTCGCCTCGGAAAATTCGTGTCCGACAACTGAATCTCGCGAAATTGATCCCCCCCTCGCCCCCCCCCCCCTCCGACAATCGTTGCGATAACGCGCGCGGATTATTGCAGGTTAAAAAAACAAAACGGAACACAGATAATATAAAAAGGTTTACAAACTAGCGAGTGTCGGCTGAATGCGTGATTCCCGTTACATCCCCCTCCCCCCTCTTTTTCTCCCACGGCAACCGTTTGATTAATAGCGGACTGAAACCGCTTGATTAAAAAAAAATCGGGAAATTCGCGAGACGCGGTTTCGAAATGTTCCCCCGGCATAGTTGCACCTGTATGCGTTATTCGTGCATCTACGGTGAGAAAAACGGCTCCGTACGACGGCGATATTACGTAAAAGTTACACGGTGGGGGAGAAAAACATCGGGCGTTTTTACAGGGTGACGCGCGTGCCGGGCGGTAAGCAAACGAGTCGAGATTTTTCAGATACGAGCGACGCTTGTACGAAGAGAGCCGGTCCCCCCGAACTGTGAAGGCGCATCGGTGTCGCGCGTTTGATATTCAAATCAGCTTCCGAAGAAAGGCGCGACTCCCGCGCATTTCTCGCCGGTCAACGTGAGGAGAACGTTAAACCGAGATATCGTCCCGTTTGCATCGTTGAGTACACGATATACCCTCACACACGCATACACACACACATACACGCTCATAAAAAGCTCAGGTATTTCACCGTGCCGTTAAGATCCGTTATCGGGGACTGAAAAATACGCAAACGTGAAAACAGAGAGAGGGGTGGGGAAAACTCACCCTTGCCGTGCAACTGCTGTCGATTGGTGTCGGCGCGCAGATTTTCGGCCGTGTGAACCAGCTCGTCCAATTGCGGTTTCTTCTGCTCCAACTCCCGCAGGACGTTCTGCAATATAAATCAGAGTGACGTAAGCATTATTACGCGCAGGGAACTTTCCAGTCCGGTTAATAACCCCGAGCGAAGTAAGATACGCGGCTAACGCGAAGCCGTGGCACTCGCGTCGAGAACGAGCGAACGAACGAGAGAGAGAGAGAGAGAGAGTGCATATAACGGTGACGCGGCGCATAGGCTATAATCGATGCAGCGTTGAAACTGCTGCAAATTGCAACCTAATGACTGGAAGTCAGTATCGCGCGACGTGTACACGACACATTCTTTGGAAAGGAAAGTTCAACGTATGTCGACCGAAAGCGACGCGAAAGCGCCCCGGTAAAGGACGTTGAGCGTTCAGCCACTTTCCACGAAGCTTCGCAGTCGTTGATGGCAAATCGAGTCGATTCTCCGCCTCGTGATACGTTCACCGTGCCAGCAGCAGAGCCAGTTGCAATCAATTTATCGCGGGTTGCGCGATACATGAGATATTTTTAATCGCGTCGAACGCGAATATTTCAGCGCGAGGCAAATTCTGGCGTGATCGAAGGCGAGATTCCCCGGTAACCCCCCTACGTTTCGAGAGCGCACCTCGAAATCAGAATTCTTCCGCGTGTGCACAGAGGAGAGGCACCAAAACCGACATACCTTGTGGTAAACCGGCATACCCATGTTTCGTGACTGTAAAGTATTGAATTTTGACGGACATAACGTGAATTTCGTTTCAGTATTCACGGTAGTTTCCAGCTGAAGTGTTTCCGTTTGCAAGCACGTTTCGGTTGTGTTATTAGAGTCGTTTGATTTTCCGGTATGATGCAATTTTGGTCGAGCTATCTTTTGGTAAAAATTCAAGTAACAAGTCAGCGATTAGTAGTTTATTTGACAATGCTGTCTTATGGTCAGTTTCGAACGTTTTAATTCATCTTGAATCTTGCGCCAATATCTAGCCTCTATCATTGATATATATCGCTCAGATAAAGTTAAGATTAGGTTGTTCCGTGTGGACCGACATACCTGAGTTAATTGGCTCTCCAACTGACATACGTGAACTTTACTGTGTAAATATCATGTCACAAGATGCAATAAAAGCTACCGATGCATAGTTTTCCCTGTTTTCTTGCTTGTTCGTTCAAGATGGTCGAAAAGAAGAAGAATTGAAAAATAGTCATTTGCAAAGAAATATATAATTTTCATGATATATTTAGACAGAGAAGTGTTGCTGGCTTGCACCCATGCGCAAATTTTAGTTCCATACCTTCAACAGGACCTCAGAGCCTAAAAACAAAATGGTACGTTGGTTTTGACGCCTTTCCTCCACCTTATACACAAATGTCCCCTAAATGTACCTCACGAACGAAAAAGTTCGAATAAATAAACAATAAAATTATTTCCTTCGATTAATTTTCACAAAAGTGTGCTTGGTTACGAGAATATGTTATGTTGAAAATGAAAAAGTCGCCACGAGTGAGAGTCTCCTTCGACATTTTCGACGAGAAGGAATTGTTTCCAAATTGCTCCGAGAATCTCTAAGTAAAATCGAGGTCGCGCAGTCGGGGACGATCTTTCGTATGGATCGCGAATATGCGCGAAAGAGAAGAAAGTTCCATAAAAGGATAACACAGCCCGTGCCATTCCGTGTGATTATGGGAATCGGGAGCGCAAGCTTTTCTACACAAAGAACGGCAGTATCTTTGTATAATATTCCACGAAACACACTCAACGGTCGATCACCTGTTTTTGCCTTACCGCTGTAGCCGCCTTTTGCCGCACGAACCTATCGATCGCTCGTAAGCTTTCGACGTACTAAGCTCTAGTCCCGCGGTTCGTTGTAGCAACCACTACACGACCTTTCATAAGGACAGATATAGATCAACATCAGCCTCCGGTGAGCTAATTAACATGTAATCCTATCTCAGAGCTCGTCATCGAAGAGATACTTGACGGTACATTGTGGCCAAAATGACAGAAAATTAATGTATTAAGCAATACGTGTTAACATCCAATAATATTCTCCGATCTGATGTATATGCAATGAAATTAATATTAATATATATATATATTAATATATATATATATATATATAT